AAGCGCCTCCTGCTGGCAGAGAATGAGTTTGCATTTACAATAAGCCCGTCTCCAGCTAAATTGTTTTGTTTTCTGCAGCGACTCGGAGCACTTTTCATACCCTTTTTTCTGACTGAAGCACATTTGTTTCAATCTATAAGAATAATCAGCCTACACTACCAGTCAAAAGTTTTCGAACAGTAATATTTTTAATGTTTTTTTTAAAGAATTCTCTTCTGCTCACCAAAGCTGCATTTATTTGATCCAAAGTACAGCAAAAACAGTAAAATGTTGAAATATTTTTACTATTTAAAATTGCTTTCTATTTGAATAGATTTTTAAATTTAATTTATTCCTGTGATCATACATAGGTACATTTTCAGCATAATTACTCCAGTCTTCAGTGTCACATGATCCTTCAGAAATCATTCTAATTTGCTGATTATCAATATTTAAAACAGTTGAGTACATTTTTTTTTTCAGGATTCTTTGATGAATAGAAAGATCCAAAGATCAGCATTTATCCGAAATAAAAAGCTTTTGTAACATTATACACTATTCCATTCAGTATAATGTTTATAATTTTTTTGGGAAAGAAATGATAGAAATTAATACTTTTATTTAGCAAGGATACTTAAAATTGATCAAAAGTGATGATAAAGGCATTTATAATGTTACAAAAGATTTCTATTTCAGATAAATAGTGTTCATATCGATATCGGAATTATATAGTATAGACCGAAATGAAGAAATATATCATGATATCAATTTTGGCCATATCGTCCAGCCCTACTCTCCACAAGAACTAACAGTATAGTACAACAACAAACAGCTGACCAAATGGATTTTAATATCACTAGCAATCCAAATCATGAATAAAACACGACAACATTGGTGTAAATCTCAAACAATCCCATCAAGATAAACAACAATGACAGAAGACACATTAAAATGTCTTCACATATTGTCTAAATGCAGGACAACGGATCTCACAGCATCACCAGCTAGACATACACCAGCTTTAAACGAACGTCCTACTAAATCACAGTGAAACTAAAAGAAACAGGCCGTGGTCGATGGCTGCGTCTCAAAATCTAGTGCTGTGTAAACACAAAGACAGCATTTTTGGATGTCACACACTCGATTCAAAGGTTCAAACGTGTCTGTGAAGCACAAAATTCAGTCTTGGTTGTCATATATCTAGGTCATGGGACTGAGCAGTTGTCTGCTTTTATAAATGCATCAGGTTAAGAGAAGTCTGTCAAAGTACCGAGTCTCCAGGCTGTTAGCAGCCTACGCACCACCCGCATGCAGCTTCACACTTACGACTGACTCCTCTGACGATCCATGGACTATTTAATCACTTAATTTAAACGTCAAAAGAACAATTAACAGTATTAATATCTTCAATCAGATGGAAGAGGGCTAGTTTCACACGAGCAGGCAGACAGCTGTGCGGGTTAGCTGGCAGCTAGCTGGATCCATCACAACAATAACAGTGTTCCTTTAACCGGGTTCAAAGCTGCTCATAAAGCGCCTTTAAATCAAATACGGAACGTCGCTTCTTTCAAAAGTCAATCGCAGAAACAGGTCGGACGGAAAACATTGCCGAACAGGTCTTGTATAAAGGCTGTATTGAAAGTAAATTGCGGGTTACACTTTACCTTCAATTCCGCACTCTCCGCCATCTTGTTTCTCTGGCGCAAGCGTGATCAGAGCCTTGGCACGTGACCAATACGTGCGCTTGTTCAAACGTTCAAAAATTAGCGCGCGGATTACGCGATTTCACACTGCTTGAATGGAAACAAAACATGGCATCATTCATCAGCGACAAGATCTCATGCAACGAAACGCTCTCGCTTGTTAGATTAATCATGTTATAAAATTCAGAAATGTGTTGCTGTATTGATTAAACAAAACTTTCTTTCGTTCCAGATAATCACATGCAATTTGCATTCGGTTTTGTCATCTGATCAGCTATGGGAACTCCGAGTCATTTCCACAAATCGGTTCTTTCGAACAGTTCGTTTCATAGAACATGAATAAAAAAAAAACAGTTCGGGGATTATGCCATGTTCTAATTTTGTAATCACGTGCACTTTGTTGCAACGATGATTCATCTTTCAAAGTCAAAACCAAATATAGCATTTACATGAAACAATGCTAAAATCCTTTACATCTTTCGTCTGATTTTGATAGATAAAAATAAAATGCTGATATGTGAGTTGATAACTTACTTCTTATCAAATCGTAAACATCTAGTTTGTAACATTTCTGCTGTTTGGCTATTTGCTATTTGACTTTTTATCCCATCAGTAAAAATAAAAACATTTCTAACGTTACTTCATGTGTGTGTGTGTGAGGTGAATCAAACACTCTGTAAGATCGCTTTTAAGCAGACAAGTTAAAGAACCAAGCGAATTTGATTTTTAGTTTTATACAGCAAGGCTTGTTTGAAAATATTTCAGATTTTTTAAAGAGCGTACTGACCAACAAAACTATTTTATGTCGAGTCTGGTATTACTAACATGATTTGTGTCCACTAGATGGCAGCCTCACACCTTTTATTGTAACTCCGTGCCTTTCCTTTTTCCTGTAGTAAAGTGCAGTCAAACTCATGAGGGCATAAGGATTTAGTATTTTTACGCCGTTTCTTTTTATAATTTGTATTATCATCAAATAGTTTTGGTTTTTCATTGTGTCAGAACAAAGCCATTATGGTGATTATTCTGCACATAATTATTGTGCTTCCATCTGTGCTGTATAATTGCAAAGAATTAAACTGATTAACCAGTGAAGATAGTAATATGTTTATTTTGGGGGAAAACAGCTTGTCCAATAGACAGTAGTTAGAGTCAGAGTTACAGTCTTCCTAACCCTAACCTATTCTACAAGCAGAAGTCAGCAATAGAGATAGCCAATTTAGGCACAACTGCTAAAATCAATTTATGCGGCCTATTAAGATTCTAAAATAGCAAAGTTCTAGAAACCTATACAGCTGACTACATAATAGCAGTAATTATGAAGACAGAACATTTATTTTTACCCAACGTTTCAGGAGTTGATAAGTGGGGTCTCATTATTTGTGATGTTGTCCATGAATACATGTTCTGTGGAAGCTGATGGGCTAAGAGGAAAGAACCAAACAATACCTTCTCATCTTCAAGGTTGTTGTCGTGAACCCGCTGAAACAATACATGGAGATAGAAACTAATGGAGTTGTAAAATCAGTTACAAATGCCAAGAATTAGTGTTAGTGGATACTTGCGCCATTGGCCTTCATGACCCATAGTTGGCCTTTAGATGTAGGGACACCAGTCTCATGCTGCTTATATGTGCATTAAACAAAAAACAAAATTATGATGACTAAAAACGATTTCTTCTTTACAAAAAGTAGTAGTACAGCATAAGGGTATGAATAAGTATCGCAATCATCTTTCAGACGGTAAATATAAACTCAACAAAAATGATTAATTGCATACAGCTTTTGATTATATAATTATAATAGTTAGTAAATATATTCAGCTCAATAAACCAAAAAGGAATGTCTAACAAAGGGGAGAAGATCATAAATTCACTCAGTCAATATGTACATGCTACACTACAGTATGTACAAAACAGCAATTTATATTTTTAACAAATGCTTGGATTTCTGCACTGATCAAAACTGTCATAATGATACAGTCCTTTTCATGGAAATATGTGCAGGAATAGTCAAACTAAGATTTTGATATCAATGTCATGTTGTTCTTTGTGACTTATACAGATGCAAATGTAGTTCATTGTTATGGAAATTGATTAAAATGAAGACAGACTCTCAAACAAGATCATTTAATCCACATTTCAGTTAGGGCTGCCAATTTAAAGTGCTTTACATCAAAAATATACAAATATGCAGATGAGAATAAACAACCAACATGGACATGGAATAAATAAAATATACAAAAACATGAATTATTTTTGCAGCTAATTTAACAAACTATCACGAACAAAAAAGGTATCACAGGATACATAACAAATATCCATTGCACATAGCCACTTAATACCAGTGATTTCTACAGCTGATGATAATATTTTTAAGTGGGACGTCAATTTTTCTTTATAATGCAGTTTTCTAGAACTTTATATAAATTATACAGTACATACAGTGACTCTGAAAACACTCTTTTGCAAATGAAAATGACTTCATTACAGTGTAAGAGCTAAAATACTACAGTACACACTTGCTTATTCCAGGTCTAAAGGTTGACAGTGTTTTGCAGAGGAAAAAAGTTACGTTTTATTTGACACAGCAGTATTTCTAATGAACACATGTCTTCAATAGGTGTCCATCAAGGCGGTAGAAGAGGAGGTTTGAAGGTGCAGGTCCCAGCACAGTGACGCGGAGTCAGCATCTTACACGAGAAATGGTGTAGTGCGTCGTGAGCTTCTGGGAAAAAAGTGAATGAATAATTTAAAACAAAAGCAGCATATGATTATATGTGTTGGGGTACAGAGTGTGAGAAAAAATGTGTTCTAGGACAATAACTGCTATAATATACTGCAGTGTGGCTCAAATGGTTCTAAAATATATAAACCGTCTACAAATTAACAGCTGGCCTGGATTATAAAAAATATTCAAGGTCACACTTCTGAATACCGTCACCGTCATACACGTCCTGGGATACTTCCAAGAGCTTTTTTTTTCCAAGTCCTTTAGTTATCTTGAATGCTAATATTTGCTTGCCTTTGCTAGAATCATTTACCTTTTAACTTCTGCTGAATAGTATAACGTGTCTCTCTCTCATGGTCCAACTCGCTGCACAAAGTGTCTGCGCAGGAGAGACAAAGGATATCTCAGGTCTGGAAGACTAATTTTTTTCCCCTCATCTAAACTGGTTCAGTTTTGTGCATGGGATTTTCTGGCATCCAAGTGTACGTGTAAATACCATCAGATCCCTGTCTATGCAAGTCCCTTATTGCAGCAATGAAAAATGCATAAACCTGATGCTTAGTAGCTTAGTCCTTATTCGTAAGGACTGAACAATCTCATTTGAACTCCAGAAAGGTCCACAAAAGGTCCTAAAAGCATGTCATCAGTTCTGATAGATAGTTTAGTGTATTGTTTTTTATTAAATATAGCCAAATCCTGTCATGTGTAGTTGAACGCATACCTCGAACAATCTGGAGTTGCTGCACCATTTCCTCTCTGTATGAGAGCTCCCTTTTCATTTGGTCTTGAAAACCGTCTAAGAAGAAAATGTGAAGTAAATTAAATATCAAGGCACATTTATGTTTATTACTATATAGAAAATAAAAAATGATATAGTGCTTTGCAAAAATGAATTATTTTGACTGATTTATTAACTGATTTATTCAGTGCTTTAAACTTTAATAAGTTTAAAGCACTGAAACTTAAAATGATTTATATATGACATTATGTTAGAGTATACTTCTTCAAAAATTAACAGAAAAATACGGTTCACAATACGTTTTAAAATTGTGTAGAATCAAGACATTTGAATGTTGTCGTTCTAAGAATCAGTTTTCATCAGCATCTCCAATATTAATTTGTCCCTGTTTAAATCATTGTCATGCTAAACCTTATCATGAGCTACAGTATTTTGTTTCTGTTGAGTGTATTTCATTATTTTCTGTACCATTCATTCTCAATTTAAAAAAAAGAGATGAAAAACCATCCAACTATCTATCCACAGTGTGGAGAGCGTAACATTTAACCAAATGACCACAAAATCTTTTCACTGTGAGGAACGTTGGCAGACTTTTTATGCGGTTCATGTGCCCATGTTATGCAAAACGTATCTTAATCTATTTTTTTCAGCTTTGTTGATTGTTGGATTCTTTGTTGCATGTCTTGTCAGACTCCCTCTTGTTTACACATGACAATATAATTTTTACCTGTGAGTTTTTAGCTATTAATATTTAATTTGAAATAACCAACTATTAAGCAGCATTTTACAGGCAGAGGCAAGTTGTCACGCATTGTATCCATATTTATAAAAGCTAATTATATTCAAACAGTTATTGTTATTTTTTTTCGGCAAGTTTCAGTACTTATAAATAAAAATGTAAAAATATCTTAATATTTCAATTTAGGATGACTTAAATTCAAGCTATTGTAAGTAGGTAACAATTATTATAATAAATTATTATGAATTAATGATCTGATATTTTTGTAAACATTTAGGAAAGCATAAAGAATATATTAGAACGAATTTGAACATATACCAACCTACCTTTTAGATTCTGGAATTCACGCTCCAACTTTTTTCTAAGCTCAACTTGTTCCACAAGTTGTTTCTGCAGTTCCGCTGTTAAATAAATAAAAGCAGCAGCTCAAGCAAATGTTTAAAAATGACTCTTGAACTACAAAATTATCAATGGTTTTATTACCAAAATAAACAGAATTGTTATGCTATTGCTGAAACCCCCATGGAAAACCTCATTTCTAAATGAATTGCAACGTTTTCTTTTCAGCTCTTCTAAATGCAGCATATATTGTTTTGTTTGATTACCTTTGGCCATGTTCTCTATGTTTTTCTCAATTAAGGAGACCCTGCTGCCAGTGTCCTTGCGCACTGATTCCTCATCTGCACACACAACAAATACAGTATGAAGAAAATCCACAGACTAGTGCAGAATATTAGGAGGGCCAGTTAACCGTACGCACCATCATTTGGTTCCTTTAGGCGCTCCTCGTTGATGTTGGTTTGATCCTGATGATTTTTGGGT